GTGACTGGCCACCACGTTAGCAACATAACACATCTGCGAAATCGGTCTAGGAGGCATACTCGAGTGCATGGCTCGGAGCATGCTGGTGATAAACTTGTAGATGCCGTAGCTCTCCTGCACAAGCGGTACCAAGGCAGAAATACGGCACTCATTGTTGCCGACGTTTCTGAAATGGGAGAAGATCAATTTCTGAAATTGTTCAATCTTGTCCTGCAAGACCATGAGATCGGTGATGGTCTCGTAGCCTTCATTCGGATCATTGATTGCTTTCAAGCTGAGATACTCTTCGTATTCAAACGTGCCGTTGAATTCAGGATGCTGCTGGTGAAATGAAAGCTTTGCAAGCAAGTAATAAACATATTCACGAATCAACGGTCCGTAGCCACGGATTCCCTCGCCCGCCATGCCACGATTCAAACCATCGATCCATCCACGGTTGGCCATGGCTTCCTTGATAGCAGATGGGTGGCCTTCCTGGAGGACCTTGTGGATCGTGATGAGGGCTTTGAATGTCTGGACCTCATCGGCAAGAATGGGTTGCCTGTCTCAGTCGGTCAGCGATCGTGGGTGTCGCAAAGCTGCTGCCGGAGCACCATACACTTTAATTCCAGACCAAAAGGCCACAGAAGACCTATGGTCCCAGGTGTAAACAATGCATGCTCTCACATGCTTGCGCTTCGGGGATATTTCATCGCTGTTGGTCGCCTTCTTGATGCTGATGGCAAGCTCTTGGTCTGTCCTGTAGGCAACCACTGTCAGAATACGCAAAGCGACGGGAGAACGAAGGTCGGGGGGTCGGTACAGGGCATGGCATACTTGGTGTGCTCCGTGGTTCGTAACGAAGTCATGATTGCAACCGTTCCGGAGAGCTCTCCAGCTGTTGGAGCTCTAATAAGGGGTGCAGTGCGTAGTCAGTCTGTCGTGAGGACTCAAAGCACTCACCCCACACACGAGTGAGGCCAAACACGCGGATCGTACAGTACAGTCGCCGAGGTGTTGATTTCGTTTGCGAAGGTCTGAAAAATGAGAACTTGGGGCCAAAATGGGCCTTTTGCCGGCGCCAAGCAGAAGTGTCTCGTTTGCTGTCGTGTCTGCTGTCGTCAGCCTTGGATGATGCAGACTCGAGCTCCATAACGGAGTACCTGAAGGCGGCAGCGTCACAGGCCACCATGTGGGTCCATCTGTCCCAAGTCCTCGTTTCATTTCTCCAATGATGCCAGCCGCCTACCCTGCAGCTTCCAGAAGACGGCTCGACGATGACTTCGCCAACTCCCAGGTTAATCAGTCATCGATATCCTCCCAGAGACATCACTAGATCAAGTGCTCTGTTCGACGACATTCTCTTTTGTCTGGTTATCTGATCTCAAATGCATTCTCTCACCTTTGTCTGGACGCACCATGTATCGACTGGCAAAATAATTCGTGCTACCCAACTATGCTACCCAACTATGCTACCCAACTACGTCATTCTCCTCCCATGTGCTTCATCACCTAAGGGGCAGACATTGTTTGCAAGACACCAGTTGCATTAGACTCAAAAAATTCCCGCTCGTCGTGTGCAGGCCAGAAATATTATATCCCCAGGAAGCAAAGGGTATACTCGAAACACGCCGCACTTGAATACCGCTCCAGCCGCTTCGAGTTGGTATTGCCGCGAGGGAAGCCTCGTCTGTGACTGTGTACGATAGGTAGATGAATCCTGCATGTTTGCTGCAAAACTCAAAACCCGCAGGTTGGGTAAGAGAAGTGGAAGAAAAAGAACGTCCTCTAAATGATACTGATGGGACGCAATACAACACTTAAATATGTGAGCTTCCCATCATATAGTGTCATGTCAGAAGCAAGTTCACCACCAATCATCGACCAACACGACTGATCCCCACAAGATTTTTGAAATAACAAAAGCCTCGCATTGGTTTTTTTCGTCAAAACATTCCCTTGCATCATCAAATGTGTCTCTTACTGTCCTTGGCCTGATACAGCCCAATACTGTTTTAGATTTTACGCTTGCACGATACTCGTATCATGCTTGTAATTTCATTTGACTACAGAGCGAAACAATACTCCCTTTTAACATCACCAAATGTCGTCTCCATACTCTACACGTCGGCAAGCCGCTGCTCCACGCCATCCAGTCACAGTGAAGCCGGAGCTAATCCCCATGGTCTCCTCAATGCACCAGGGGATCGCAAACCTAACCCTAGCCGTCCATTTTCCCATCGGTTTTGCCAGCTATATAGAACCCTTCAAACAATTTCTCTTTTCCTCGAGATTGTCCAGGTTGTTCAACTTCTCATTTTTGTGTGGTACTGTTCCCTATCCATGTTCAAATTGTATAGGTAATTTGTAATTGCAACTCTCTGGGGCCGTCAATGGACAGCAGATAATCTATTCAGTAGGACTTGTAAAAGCTACAAATACTATCATAAGACAGTAATAGCGCTCGTAAAATGGCCTGGCCCACGACGGTTTGACAATTGTAAGGAGTCTCTGATGTGTCTCGAACACTGGAAGCGAAAAAGGCATGGCAGACAGGATGCTCTCAAGGTAGAATCAGGACCATAATGCTAAGCAAACTAAAGGGCGGATAGGAATCACCCGCACGGCATCAGATAGCGTACAACACAACGGTACAAGCCAAGTACACGACAAGTCACACCCAGTGAAGCAGACTACAGCATCTAGTGATGTCTCTCTGGTTTTATTTCCTATGGACATCGAAAATGCAGACCTTGCCATGCTGAGTTCTTTCCCATCCGGACGCAACACCACAAGAAAAAACGAAGCCCCAAGTCATTCCTTCCCAAACAAACACCTTTTAGATCGTAGTCTCGTAAGGCAAAGGAGTAACAGTCTCAGGAGGGTTGTCGGTCAGAGAGACGGTGCGAGCTTCCCGGGGAAGAGCAGGCAGTCGCTTAACCTGGACGGTAACACCATCGGCAGCGGCCTTCTTCTTGGCCTCGGCGTTGGACTTGACTCGCTTCAGGAAATCCTCACGAGATCGGGAGGGCTGGACGTGCTCGATTCGGACATTGATGCGCTTCTCGATGTATCGGTGCCACACCTTTTTGTAAATGATGACACCAACGGAAGACTTGGTGACGTTGTAGACAACACCAGTCTTGCCGTGGTAGACCTTGTAGGGCATACTATTCACCACATGAATCAGCACCATTTACCTTCTTCCATTGCAAGGCGATCTTCTCTCGAGCTCATTCGTCGTATTCGTAGGTGTGCCATGCGAAAACCTCTGTGGGACAGGATTTCTTACCCCTTCTGAACGGCACCGTTGACCTTAACGTCAACAATATCGCCAACACTGAATATCCAAAATCAGTCTCTCATAACTTTCATTTCCCATCTTCTAGGGCCATTCGACTTCGGGTTTTACGAACCGGTACGTCTTCAAGTACGTGTTCAGGGCGATCATGCCCTTCTGGCGGAAGTTGCGGCTGAAGGCATACTATTTCGACGTCAGTTTGGTCGCAAATCGTGCCTCGAAAGAATTATACGCACGCGGGTGCCCGCTCGCTTTCCGTAAGAGTGACCCATCTCGTCTTATTTGGCGAACAACGGGTTCGTGATCGAGAATTGGCGAAGGTGTACAGATAGAGCCTCCGCTTGTGGGTGCGTCGAATTTGCGGGTGGTTGTGGGAGCGGTAGCTTAGATAATCCGATATTTTTTTCTCCCGCCTAGGACCAGAGCTAGGGCATAATGACTGTGGGAGGTGGGGCCCATGCGATGCGAAATTCTTAGGGTTCAGAAAGCGAGACGCACGTGACCCTGCTAGTCTAGGCGGAAATTTAGCCCCCCACAATGTTGAAAGATTTCGTCTCTAGACCTGTGTGTGTGCAACTTGTTCCATCCTCAGCCATCACCATAGGAGCAAGTCAAGTAAGTCCTCGTGTCGCGAATTGCTTCAATTGCAATCATTAACAAAACTTTTCAGGATGCCTCCCCGCGCCCACTCGAAGACCTCCCGTGTCCCCCGTAGACCTTTCGAGTCTGCTCGATTGTCAGTACCACCGGCCACTGAACTAGAGCTTGCCTCTGTTTAAGTCGATTGTGAACGAAACTGACGCATATACAACAGGGACTCTGAGTTGAAGCTTGTTGGCGAGTATGGCCTCCGCAACAAGCGTGAGGTCTGGAGAGTCGGTCTGACTCTGTCCAAGATTCGTCGTGCTGCCCGGTATGCCATTCTTGGAATCATGAAAAACCCTTCACGGGATGTTGCTAACCCCCAAATGCAGTCAGCTTCTTACCCTCGACGAGAAGGACCCTAAGCGTCTCTTCGAAGGCAATGCCCTTATTCGCCGTCTTGTCCGTGTCGGAGTCCTCGATGAGTCTCGCATGAAGCTCGATTATGTGCTTGCTCTTAAGCTCGAGGATTTCTTGGAGCGTCGCCTACAGACTTGTGTCTACAAGCTGGGCCTTGCCAAGTCCATTCACCACGCCCGTGTCCTCATCCGTCAGCGCCATATCCGTGTCGGCAAGCAGATTGTCAATGTTCCTTCTTTCATCGTCCGTCTCGACTCGCAGAAGCACATTGACTTCGCCTTGAACTCGCCATTCGGTAGCGGTCGCCCTGGACGTGTCCGCAGAAAGAAGGCCAAGGCCGCCGAGGGCGGTGCTGATGGCGAGGAGGAGGAAGATGACGAGTAAATGCATTAGCCATGTCCAAATGGATCTCCGACTGGTATGGGGATAATGATTCGGTATCCTGCTTGAGGGAGGGAAAACTCGTCATAGCTTGCGGCGTTGGTAAAAGGATAAAAATTGATTGACTTCCCTACCAATACCAAGAACATTTGATCAGTGCTGTGTAAATATGATGTTGTGAAACGTGAAATGTTTATGTCGCAGGCAGTCTAGTATGATATGTTTAGATATGCCTGTTAAATTGCTTCTGTTGGATAATTCAATATGCGCATCAACTACAGTGTTCGGCATGCCAAGTGTGCCCATTTAGATTATTTGACGTTCAAATTCACGCTTGCTAGCTTAATAATTCGTCTTTGCCCAGCATTTTTGCCATGGGATCATCTGCCGCCGCTCTCTTTCTCCGGTACTCATCTAATTCGGCTTCTGAGATGCCATTTAGCATTTCCTCCCGGCTGCGTTTCTTCGCCGTTGTTCCTTCTTGATCCTTCTGGATCGCCTCTTCATCTTCTTTTTCCTCCTTCGGAGCTTCGATTAAATTTGCGCCACTCCTTTGTCGTTCAGCTGCTTCCCAGGCCTCCTTGCCTTCTTCTCCAGTACAGTAGCTGTTTTTCACAAATGAGTGGCAACATGCGTAGCCCCATTTGAAGTTGGACCACCAACTCCCCCAAATAGCAGTATGATTGTTTATCAGTACATCCTCTGCATATTTGGATTTGGCAGCCTTTCGCGGCGCTCCCTTGATCAAGCCTGCTTCATCATATTCTACATACGATTCCGACTCGGTGACCATCATACCGCGCAAGGCAGCAGGCATGGGTTTTTGGCCATCTCCTCCATACTTCTCCCGGAGCTGTCTCTCACGCTCCGCGCGCTTTTTCTCTGCTTCTTCTTGCTCCATTTTTCGGTAAAAAGCACCGGCGGTAGGGTTTGCTTGTAAATGTTGTGATGTGTCGCCGCTCTTTTCTTGCGCTTCCCAAGCGTATCTTTGGGCTTTCTCGAACTCACTGGCCTCACCTGATGATCGCATAAATCCTTCTTCAGCAAAGAGATCTGCAGCTTTGCCACCGGTGGCTCCTCCGTCAACTAATGATCTCGTCTTGGGATCATATTTCGCAGACTCCAAATCGAGATTCAGGAGATATTTGGCCGTATCTTCTCGTATTCTCAGTTGGCGAGTTGCTGTGCTTTGATGTTTGCTCATGTCGTTTTCCTCGGCATACTTGTCGCCATCCTCGGAAACCTCTTCCCCGTTTTGAGACTTCTGTGACTGCTTTCGGAACTCTTCCATCTGATTGAATTCATCCACCACGCTGCGGTATTCCTTCGAGTCGTATCCGTTCCATCGGTCTCGCTTGGCATCCCACCCCAAGTTGACAGTTTGGAGAACTTCATCGGCTTGAATGTCTTTGCCAGTCCACTTGGCACCCTTGGCCCTAGGACGGCTGAGGCAATCTTTGGCCTTATGTGTCATCGCGCCGCAGTTTTCGCAAGCGCCTTTTCGATATTTTGTTGCGGCCGGGCCAGACTTTCGCCCTCGATCGTACCATTGCGAAGATTCCTTCTTCTCCTCTCGTCGCTGATGTTTAAGGTAATCATTATCATCTCCTTCTTCTCCAGCATAGAAGGGCCTTTTGCTGATGAAAGACGGGATGTAGATGTTCTCCTCCTTGTTTGCCGCGCCTGTCTCAGGCTTGCGTGGAGGCGCGGGTGGCATCGTGCGGGCGATTGCGTCCAGTAGGACGTTGAATTAGAAAAAACTCGATGGAGGTAGATAGAAGAGATTCCTTATACAGGTATGTGCAGGATTATTTGTTTTTCAACCGTGACTTGGGCAGAGTTTCGGGGCTGGCGCATTCACGAGGTTGCATGGATGTTAAGTACGTGCAATATACGGAGCACAGTCTAAGAGCTGGGAAAACTTCTAGGGTGGGTATTATTCAGCATCCCGCGAAGTACCGCCCTTAACAGAGATGCTCTAAACTCTGATACACGCTCATTTGCACTCACATTCACATAACCGTAACTCAACTTTATAATCATACCCAGAAATTATCCTCTGATAGACTGTACTCTCGTAAGTTATCCTCAAAGTTCTAAAGCACCCTATGAGTTGGTTACCAAGGTATCTAACAAAGCCAGAACTGTTAGTAGTTAACTTTGTCATGTACTTCTGCAGTAGCTAATCAAATGGGCTAGGAGCTAGCCTAGGCTAAAGGTAGCACTTATCAGCACGTGACCACGCGAGACTAGTGCGTCAGACTTGCACCTTCAGCGCGCGCGAGCGCAGACAAATCGTGAACATCGCATGGTGCCTTTTCTCGCAATTTGCTAATCAAATCTTGACCCAAGCACAGTAATGTTTCAATTCCGGAATCATAGTTGAACCTAATGGAGTTGCATGCTGCAAAGCATGAATTTGTTTCGGGTCAGATTGAATTGCATCGATCATTACCAGGCGATCCCCACCCGCTATGATCCTCAGCTTCGAAATGACGTTCGTGCATCACAGGTAGTCAAGGGCCCAAAAGTTCCTGTTGTACGCATATTCGGCTCTACAGAAACCGGACAAAAGGTCTGCGCTCATGTTCATGGCGCATTTCCTTATTTGTACGTGGAATACGATGGCGACTTGGCGCCTGATGAGGGTGAGACGCTCCATTGAGACGCAAGGGCGCCAACCATGCTGACGGCTTCTTTTAGTTGGAGCATATATCTATCGACTGCATCTCTCAATTGATCATGCCCTGGCTGTAAGCTATAGGCGAGATCAGTATGAGGAAGATGCCAAGTTCGTCGCACGGATCACCTTGGTCAAGGGCATCCCGTTCTACGGCTTTCATGTCGGCTATCGGTTTTTCCTCAAGATATACATGTTCAACCCAATCGTGATGACAAGGTTAGCGGATTTGCTACAGCAGGGGGTAATTATGAAGCGGAAATTTCAACCCTACGAAGCTCACTTGCAGTATCTGCTCCAGTTCATGGTTGATTATAATTTGTATGGGTGTGGTTACCTGGAGTCGTCCAAGACCGCGTTTCGGTCTCCTATCCCTGCATATGACGCTGGATCCAACTCCTCGCACCTATGGCATAGTCTGTCAGTACTTCCTCAACATATCACAGATGATTCTTCCTTGCCACGAGTTAGCCATTGCTCCATCGAAGTAGATATTTGTGTGCAACACATTGTCAATCGTCAGGCAGTGAAGGAGCGACAACTACATCATGACTTCATCGAGCGAAATTCTCCCATACCAGCAAATTTAAAGCTTGTGTTCAGCTTGGCAGGACTCTGGAGAGATGAGACCAAACGGCGACAACGTCAAATGCCGCGTGGCAAGCAAGGGCTCAGCCCCTTCCCCCCTGATGTTTTGGTGAGTATGTCTGCCGATGCTAGACAGTCACGACCACAGGGCTGGATTCACGAGGAGGAACATGTGCAACAAATTACCGAGCTGGTCAACGCAGAACTTGCCGGATTCGACGACCAGCATCCCAAATTCGAAGATTTTGTGGAACCAGCGGACCCAGACGGGGAGGTTCATACAGCTCTGCAGTCTGTTGAAGATTTATTTCCAAGCAATCTTATTCCTGCTCTCGGCCTTTCATCAAACATGACGCAATCAACGGGGGAGCCACCCGCAAGCAGCATTGAAGTAGACGAGAAAAAAATCCTTGAAGAACTCAACCGTGGAGATGAGTTTTTCCCGGATGATTCCGACGAAGAGAGGCTTAGAGAAATGACCCGGGCAGAACATAGTGCGGAGAATGACATGGGACAGGAGGCTGCCGCTGCTGTGACAGAAATTATCTCAGCCAATAGGGGAAGCTCGTCGACGAGAATTAAGCCACTGCAGCCATCATCACATCTCATGCCCGGCGTATGTCTCAGTGTACTTTCAACCGGATCACTTCCCACCGTTCCCATTTCACAAGAGCTCCTCGATGCTGCCGAAGATGAAGGACTAGTTGGAAGAGTTCCAAAATCTAAGGCCTTGCGACCTCAAAAACTGATGGCGCGCAAACGTCAGGGGCCAGTGGCATCGTCTACTGGTAGCCCACAGAAGCGACAGAAATCCTACAAAGCTGCACCACCGTCTTCAGTCCAGCAGATTGTAGCTGACTCCTCGTCCTCCCCTAAGCCGAGCGGCTTTAGATCCGTAAATCAACGCCACTCTACTTTTTCAGCTCCTAGAGACGGATGTAGCCCATCCAGCAGCGATCCCCTCGCCACCTCAAACCGAACGCTGAATTACGCCATTACCAAAGAACAGAGTGGTAAAAGTTCAAAAGTGCGGTTCGGCCAGCGAAGCCAGATATCACCTATTAAGCATAATGATGGCAGCAAACTGACCAAAACCATGTCTTGTCACCAGAGTGTGGATGACCTGTTAGGGAAAACAGGCAACTCCCAGTTCGACGTGCCTACGCCTAAGTTTTCGTCCAACCTTTCTGAGCACGACAATGAAAGGACAAAGATACAAAGGGCCGTTGCGAAGGTAGTCGACAACAGGTTCATGATATACTCATACATGCCACCAACTGCTAGCCAATGTTCAGCTGTAAAAGACCCTGAGCTGCCCGATGTTATCTATCAAGATGCATTTTATAGTAGAGAGTCCGATGTTCCAGAGCGCAATCGTGAGTATGCCGGCCGAGAATATCGGTTGGAGAGCAATACTCTACCATTTCTTCCTAATTTTGACGTCGATGGCGTCTCTCGTGCTAGCTATGGGATCAAAACAGACAATTATCAAGTGCAACAAGCTCTTGAACAAGAACAGGCATTACAGCGTCGCCACTGCAATTGGCAAAGCTGGGAGTACGCTCAATTGCCCCCGTCTCACCAGGAAGTAGTACACTGGCTAAATACGCGGAAGCGGCAGAAGGAAGCTGACAAGAAAGCACCTCGGCATGTATTCCCCTCATCAAGGGCTTGGTTGTCTCAGATCGATGGCCCAACACAGAAAAACAAGCATGGATTCAAGTACACACAAAAGGGCAAGTCAACAAGTGTGGAACACGAGGTTCAATACATGAGCACTATGAGTCTGGAAATCCACGTCAATACTCGAGGAAGATATGTTCCCAATCCCGAAGAGGACGAGGTTCAATGCATATTTTGGGCTTGCAAGTCTGATGAAGTGGTTGGAATTAGCCAAAATTCCCCAGGTGCTATCCACACAGGGATAGTGGTGTTGTCGCAAGACGGAAAGGAGAGCCAGGCCATGCGGAAATCAACAGGGTCAGACATTATTGAAGAGAGCTCTGAACTAGACTTGATTGTCCGTATGGTCGAGATTGTAAGAACATATGACCCCGATATCTTAACTGGATACGAGGTTCATAGTAGCTCATGGGGTTATTTGATCGAACGCGCGCGTTGCAAATACGACTACAATCTGTGTGATGAGTTTTCCAGGATGAAAAGCGATTCTCATGGACGGTTTGGCAAGCAAAGTGACCGATGGGGCTTTAACACAACATCGACGATTCGCGTTACGGGTCGGCACATGATCAACATTTGGAGGGCCATGCGTGGCGAGCTGAATCTTCTCCAATACACCCTCGAGAATGTGGCCTGGCACCTCCTACATCGTCGCGTGCCTCATTATTCTTGGAAGACCTTGACATCCTGGTATAAGAGCGGCAAGTCTAATGATCTCGGCAGAGTCGTCAGATATTACCAAACGCGAACATTGATGGATATCCAAATCCTGGAAACCAACGACTTGATTCCCAGGACGAGTGAACAAGCTCGACTGCTTGGGGTGGACTTCTTCTCTGTGTTTTCACGGGGCTCACAATTCAAAGTCGAGTCCATCATGTTTCGAATTGCGAAACCCGAAAACTTCATCCTTGTCTCTCCGAGTCGAAAGCAAGTCGGCAGCCAGAACGCATTGGAATGCCTACCATTGGTTATGGAACCGCAAAGTGCCTTTTACAGCAGCCCGCTTTTGGTCCTAGACTTTCAAAGCTTGTACCCAAGTGTCATGATTGCCTACAATTATTGCTATTCGACTTTTCTGGGACGAATTTCCAACTGGCGCGGCGTAAACAAGATGGGATTTACGGAGTACAAACGTCAGGAAGGTCTTCTCGCCCTGTTGAAAGACTACATCAACATTGCACCGAATGGCATGATGTATGTCAAGTCCGAGATTCGAAAGTCTCTCCTCGCCAAGATGTTGACAGAGATATTAGAAACAAGGGTCATGGTCAAAAGCGGCATGAAGAGTGACAAGGACGACAAGGTGCTACAACAGCTATTGAATAACCGTCAGCTGGCACTGAAACTGTTGGCCAATGTCACATACGGATACACATCTGCCTCCTTCTCAGGACGCATGCCCTGTTCCGAAATAGCAGATAGCATCGTCCAGACGGGTCGAGAGACGCTTGAGCGTGCTACAGCATACATCCACTCGGTAGAGCGATGGGGGGCCGAAGTCGTCTACGGCGACACAGATAGTTTGTTTGTTTACTTGAAGGGCAGGACGAGAGACCAAGCTTTTGAGATCGGCAACGAAATTGCAAAGGCAATCACAGAGATCAACCCGCAACCCGTCAAGTTGAAGTTTGAAAAGGTCTACCACCCCTGTGTACTGCTAGCTAAGAAACGCTACGTCGGATACAAGTATGAAAGCAAAGACCAAGTCACGCCCGAGTTCGACGCCAAGGGCATCGAGACTGTTCGCCGAGACGGCACACCCGCCGAGCAAAAGATTGAGGAAAAGGCTCTTAAACTACTCTTTGAAACTGCCGATCTGAGCCAAATCAAGGAGTACTTCCAGAAGCAATGTGACAAGATTTTGCGGGGAGCAGTGTCTGTACAAGACTTCTGCTTTGCAAGGGAAGTCCGGCTGGGGACGTATTCCGACAAGGGGCCACCACCGGCCGGCGCTCTTATCAGCACCAAGAAAATGCTCGAGGATGCCAGAGCGGAACCGCAATACGGCGAGAGGGTACCGTACGTGGTCATCACAGGAGCCCCCGGGGCACGTCTCATCGACCGGAGCGTGGCCCCAGAAGACCTACTGGCCAATCCTCACTGGCAACTCGACGCGGAATACTACATCTCCAAGAATCTCATCCCCCCGCTGGAGCGCATCTTCAACCTCGTCGGCGCCAATGTAAGGCAGTGGTACGACGAGATGCCCAAGGTCCAGCGCATACGCAGGGCGCCAAACGACCCGGGAGCCAAGAAAATGACACTCGAGTCGTACATGCGCTCGACGCACTGCCTCGTCTGCGGCGCCAAATTCGCCCAGGAGGGCCAAACCCTCTGTCCCGCATGCCGAGACAATACGCCCGCTTCGCTGTTCATGCTTCAGACGAGGCTGGCCACCGAGGAACGCGGCTACCAGGACGTGCTGAGCATTTGTCAAACATGCTCCGGACTGAGTCCTCTTGAGGACGTTCGCTGCGATAGTAAAGACTGCCCTGTGTTTTGGACCAGGACGAAGCAGAGGACAAAAGTGGCGGGAATGAGGGCAACCGTTGGACCGGTCATACGGGCCCTAGCTGAAGGTAAAATGGAAAGGTCGGCGTTGGAGTGGTGAATGAAATGATATTTTGGTCCAATTCTATTAATCTTGAAAGGGATGGGAGGGTTGATATGGTGTTTTTTTAGAGCGGAAGGCAGTGTAAATTACTTATAGACGTGTTGCAATGATTCTTATGATCCGATGTCACTCGGCCGTGCACCTAGCTGATTACGTGCATGACTAATTTGGTGCCCTGCCTATGTACATTCGTAGCATATGTACTCCGTACATGGTAGCCCCCTATCATTAGGGCCATGTATCATCTCACTCAACAGTATTCGCCAGGCTGCAGTGGTACTAATTCGAGGTGGGGGAGAGCAAATGTAGGCAGCTCAGGCCCGTTCCTTCTAGGATGAAATGACCTAGGATAAAATTATTGCTCGCTCGCTTTTTCTTATATGCTTTTACACGTCCACCGTGTCACTTTCATCGCCTACTTCCTGAACTGGCACTGGAGAGTATAGGAGTGGTTGTTTTCACTTGATCTCACCAGTAGTTACAGGAAGCCCCTCAGCAATTGACTCGTCCCCCAGAGTATCATCCTCTAACCAACCAGAAATGTCGTCGTCGTCATCGATACCGACGTCGGCAGCTGGTAGTGCTGCCAGAGGACTTTCTTTTTCCGCTTCCACACCCTCTATGGCAGGCTCCTGTGAAGATTCTCGAACAGCGCTGGACGAGGTTTCTGCAGAGCCAGACTTAATTTCCACGACTGCCACTGGGAGATCCTTCTTGACCTCAACTCCCATTTCCATCTTTGGTCTTGCTGCCTTTTCGACTTTCGTGGCAGAGTTTCCCCAAGCTTCATCGTGGTCTACCTTGTCCTCATGGGATGGTGTACCTGGCCGGGAATCGTCAGGGGCAGCCACAACGAGCATACTCTGTTCCGCAACCTCTTCTTGCTGCTGGCTTGCGCCTCGTCGTCTTCGTTGAGGCAGCGAAGGCGGCTGCGGCGATCGATTTTCTTTGTCATGATCCATAGACTCGGCCTGCGGCTGTTCACGGATAGAGGAAGAGGATGGAATAGGTTTACGTTTAGGCGCCGGTGCAGTGACAAGCCTTGTGCCCCCATTGGTAGGGCCTGGGAGCGGTGTTCCTGGAGGCGGTAGTGGTTGACCTCGCCCCATAGGTTGACTGAGATCAACTTGATGGGACTTGTCGCCGTTTTGCCGTTGTTCCTTTTGCCGGCGAATTGCATTCCAACCCCACTGTCTTGCCTGTTCCGCAGCATTTGTGACGGCGGCTAGTGTGTTTCTTTTCAGGTTACCGCCCGAGGATGACTCGGTTGATGCAGTGGTGCTAGTAGTGTCGCGTCTTGAGAAGAAGTTTCGACCAAGTGACTCTGTATGGCTCTTGAACGAGCCGGTTGTAGATGGCGTGGGTGAGCCCGGGCCAGAATCTTCACTGTGAGGGAGAGATTCGACCGAGGATGTTGTGTTGCGGTGTGCTCTTTGTACCGGTGTTATATCTGTATCTCCGGTATGCTCCTTGCTCTCAATTTCCTTGGAGGAGGTCGAGGAACGACTCGACCTCTTAGCTCGGGGCGATGCCTTTGCTGAGGGCTCAGGTACCTGCATAGGTGATGCGTCCTGGGACCGAGATGCCAGAGAGGCCATGAGGTTGGTGGCATGGTCAGGAGGCGACGAGGAAGGTTTAAAGAGGTCGGCGTGGGCAGTTTCGGTGCCTACCACAGGGTCCGTCGAATTCTTGATGATATTGAGAGATCGCGGCGTGCTGTGGCCAGAGTTCAGGGCCTTGGAGTCGATAGCAGTGGTCAGGACAGAAGTCGCACTTCCATTAGCACTCTTTCCCAGCTTCCTGCCAAAGAAGCCCGTGCTGGTTGGTTGCTGCCCCATGGCAGGTAGAGTCTGACTCTTCTCTAGGGGTCGAGTTTGATTTAAGAGATCTTCGTTTTCATCCAACTTTTCCGGTTGCTCGACATTAGGAACTGCCTGTGGACGCTCAGCATCTTCGCTTGACTTGACAACAGCATCGTCGCCTTGGAATATGCCTCCTCTCCACATCTTGTGTTCCGTTCTGAAGAAGGGTACGTCGTCCCAGAACGGCTGCACCAATGTCTCAGCAAAGACTTCCTTTATCCGGCTCTCGATCTGGCGCAAAATCAGAGTATAAGTTATTTGTCTTGAACTGACAATTGGCTCGATGACCATTTCCATCTTGGGCATCGTCTGAAAAGACATCCACACACGATTGCTGGGTGGTGCCTTGACCTTGAATAAAATATGGCCCTCAATGCGCTTTAGGACAACGGCCAACAGCAAGGTGACCTCTCGGGCTTTGAACCTTGTCCCAAAGTCAATCTTGGCTGTAGCACCAACCTCGAGGCGAAAGTTGCCAGTGTATCTAACGTCTGCCTCCACAACGCACTCGCCCTCTACCGTCAGGTCTTTGAGCTTCAAGTTTGTAAAGTAAGGCGCCGCTTCGCCAGTGTCAATCTTCTGGATGGTGATGTTGGCTAGAAATGAAGGTCGCTTAACTCTGGATATTTTCTTGGTGATTTTTTCACGGATCAAGTCTTCCAAATCTCGGGTTCTATAGACGGCCAGAAATATTCTTCCAAGCATTGCATTTAACCATCTGGAGTGAACATGGTCCTCGGAAGAGTGCAACCGTTGTACCAAGGAGATGATGTTTTTAACCTCGAAGCCTTTGGGGATTGGGGGGTTCGAGTCGAAGCCGAAAGTCTGCTCCTGATTCCTTAGCAAGGCAAAGTAAAAGTCTTCCTTTGCCGAGCAGTTTTCAGAAAATAAATAAAAAGGCTTCATCGTCTGGCCGTCTGCGTCGGGTATATCGTGGCCGTCTGCTCTCCTCGACAAGCACAACGCATTCCGCTTGATGAACAACTCACCTTCGGGGGTGACATCGCCGCCCGAGTAAATACTTATGTCATAGCTTGCCAATGAAATAACATGGCGTACTTCTAATTGCTCTTCGTCGTCGAACAACATGATGTGGCCGTGCCTGGGCGTTTCAGGAAAAGTGTAAGTTTAAATATAAGGAGGACATCGATAAATGGTGACAAGAAGGCTGAAACGCCTGCTTACCTTAGCACAACGTAAAAGACGTTGCCAGCCTTCTTTGGACGCTGGCTCATACTATTATTGGTATTATTATTATCCAGGGGCCCAGCCACCGGCTTTCGATCGAATATACTTCTATACATGGTCTGATAGACGCTGGGGCTTGGAGGAGCAACGGTAGTGGAACCGACGGGAGTTGAGCGTTCGATGGGTTTGGCATTGAGACCCATGGGCGTGTACTCGCGGCAGACGGCGAAGTAACCGGCGGCAACGTCGAGGTCGCGGGTGGCGCGGGCACTGGCGGTTTCGGCCGGTGATTTCTTCTTTTCTGCCTCAAGAGCTGAGGTATCGTCGCCGGGTTGAACAATGTCACTCTGGAGTCGGTCGCCCTCGCGGCCATGAGGAGGCACCAGGTCATGCCGGTACGGCAGGGTATAGTGGGCGTGAGCCAGTATGGCCAGGACGACAAGCGGAATAAAGGTGACGCCTCCAAAAAGATACGTCACCAGTAATGTCGTCCATGGTCCCATGGCTGTTGTGTATAGTATGCGGAAAGACTATTTGGCCAAGGCCACAGTGGCCTCGAGGGGGTCGAGGTCCGATGCAGCGAAATCGGCAGAATCGGCGGCGACTCCCAGGACGGCTGGCGCTCGCGATAGGTGTGGTTGGAGGCCAAGCACCAGGTGAAACGTCGATACAGAGCGGCCTGGCTGCTGTGAACAGGCAAAGAAACAAAGGTGGTGGACACGAGGAGTTGTCTATGTGGCCCGGCGGGACGAGTTTGATTGTGCAGTATGCAACGTGCAACATGCAGCGCGGTGAGCAATAGAGGCTAGCTATGATTAGGCCGGCACGACCAGCATGCAAAATAAATGGACGTCGGCGCGGGAGCAGGCCAAAGAAGACTGGAATGATGTATCGAAGGGAGGGTTGAAATGAGCTCCGGAGCCCAAACGAGATGTCGTCGAGACGGGCCAAGGACCCAAGGTTAAATAAATAGAATAGAGTGGTGGGGTGTGCGAAAGAAAGGGCAGAGTCTAATAAACAAACAAATTCGAAGCCGGCGTCCAAGTCGAACTGCAAGTCAAAAAGTCAAAGCCAAAGCCAAAAAGCCAATCATCGAAGCCAAGGTCCAAGCCGCTAGAGCGAGGGAGAGACGAGACTATGTAGAGTCGATCCAAGGGTCCGGCCAGGCTCGTTACAAAATCCTTTGTTGGAGCGTCTAGCTCTGGCTGCAGCCAGGCAACGTGTGATAGCACACGAGCTGCAAGCTGCGAGAAGCTCGAGACGTGTCGAGGTTTAAAATGACACCGATTGCAGCTGGCAGGTGGCGCAGCTGGCAGGTGGCAGGTTACAGATTGCAGGTCGGATGGTGGTTTGTTCAAGTACACATGTAGTTTTGCCCATGAAGCTCAAAGCCTAAATAAGCTCGAGTCGTGCAGCCAGCTCCAGTCCACGTCAATGTGGCCTTTGCGAGCCGAATGGCTCCGGAATGGCTGGCAGTGGATCTCGAGCGGGCTGCCGTCGTCTGTTGTGTCAAGTCGCCTTGCCCTCTGTGACTCCTCAATGGACATTCAATGTTGATGCGCCTATGTACGTCATGTGATGGGGCCTCAGGCGCTTGTTTAGCAGGGGACGGTCATCGCTGGGACCAGTCAAACCACCTGCGCAGTTGGTAGTGACTCCAGGCTGGAGCTCTAGAAGCCTGGACCCACCGGAGAGCATTGATCTCAGAGCAACCGTGCTGCGCGCACGCGGTCGAATAACAAATCAATCCTCTGGTCCCTCTCAAGCCCCCCGTGTCCTTTCTCCTTTCAGCAATTTATAGACACGCATACATGGCCAGTACAAATTTAAAATAAAACATCATTCATTCGTCATGCAAGTACACTCTGTCTCTGTCTCCTTATTTGTTCTTCCTCCTGTCACCACCGACCCAACCATCTCAGCTCTCCTCCGTCTGTAACTGCCCCTCTGCGTTACCATCAACCGGTGCGCAATGCATTTCTTTGCCGCCGACCTTTCAGCTGCTTCTCCTTCCACCTTCTTCTCTGTACATGTACAATTTCCCCACATCTTCATCTTCGAGTCTCGCTGCAGTCTATAGACATGAAACAGCAAATGCTCCTTCCCCCCCCAATTTGGGATGGCCACCGTATTAACTAATATATATATACTTCAAAGTCTGGGACTTATACAGCCAGGCCAAACGTCTAAAGCCCAGTCAATCAGTTAAACTCAAAAATAGAAAAGGTGTCGCCATTGAGCATCCTTCTCTCTCAAGAATGCAAGTAGAATCTAGTGCCAACGAAAAGAACAGACAACCCCTCGTCCCTTGCCCTTCCATACTCAGACACACAAGCCTTCTTGGTCTACCAGCAGGCCAAGTGCCTTTCCTTTTACTCGTCATGAGACAGGCAAGGAGAGAGAGGTTGTCAAAATGTAATCAATCTGTCATCAGCCGGCTGCTAGCGTCGAGTTGCCTGCATTTTTTTTTTCATTGTATATATGAATGTAAGAAATATTATGAGGGGAGAAGGACGGCCCCAAAAGCACAAATGCAGCGAGGGTGCAGTCAGAGGGAAACGACCAAAAAAAAAAATTCCGCAAGAAACTCCGTTCTGGAAACCAGGATTCGCGGTAGTAAAACAGGGCATCGGCTTTTTTATTTCGGCTTCGTCGAAAAGAAAAGATTGTATGCATCACAGAGGCTAGCTCAAGACAAGCCATAGCCGCGCACTGCAATGTCGGTGAGAGCAGAATCGGATTACCGAGTAAAAACAGGAAATGAAAACCACATAATAAAGGACGGGATGTCGTCATGTCGTCAAACTTTCACACAAGATTAACACTTGTCGTAAAATAGGTAAGGAAAATAGTTGTTGGTATGCTGTTGTTGTCGGAACAAATTGATCCATAATTCTTGAACAGGGCAAAACGCCCTAAAAGTGCCATAGCATCGGATAGCCACAAACAGTTTACGCTCGTGACCGCATCGAGGCCACTGGCGTGTTGTTAACAGACTGGGCGTAGTGGGAGTGGGAAGGATGCCCGCGACCCCTTCGTGGGATGTGTGGCAGGGTTCCTACATCATGCTTGCCATCACAGCAGGCTCTCACATTTTCAAGCCGATCCGCCTCTCGATCTTGACGCTCAATCATCTCGCGCAGATCTTCAGCGCTGTCATGCACCTCACTTGCTTCATATATGCCCCAGTTTTGGCCGCTGGCACCTCGACTGCGGAAGCTGGAGAGGGTGCCAGAGAGTTTCGGTGCTCCAGATCTCCAGTACCCGCTGAGTTTGCTCAAAGTACCGGTCGACGTTCTGCTGCTTGTGGTTATAACACGTTTGCGATTGCCAGACGGTGTGAGGGTTGGAACGTTCATTGACACGCCGAGTGCTGGAGACTCATTTCGCGTTGTACGGGAATTGTACGATGAGAGGGACGGGGCGGCTCTTGATCCGCCGTCATTGACTGGTCGGCGAACGACTTGTGGATTGAACTCATCGACGTCTTCTTGCGTGATTTGCCCAGCAACCTCTTCTGCGTCCGTCTGTTGACCTTGGCCAGTTCTCAGCAACAAATAGGAGAGCGCGTTGAACCAAGTCTCGTGGCGTTGACCAGTCGTGCAAGTGAACTTGATGGTTCGCCCAGGTGAGATGATGACCAAGCTCTTACGATGAAGCCCCGGTGGCATTGGATTATCATCCGTTACCACACGGACGGCCTCAATAGGCACACTCTTGGCTTTGAGCTCTGTGCGAACTGCGGTAGATGGGTCCTTGTCGCTCCAATACAATGTCCTAGTATACGGATGAACCCAGAAGTAGCGACGGTGGCGGTTCTCAGAGAACTCGCCGCGACCCGTCTTTCGAGTATACTTCCACAGAAATTCACCAATCATGGTTTGCGTGATTGCTTGAATCATACGAGGATCAGTATTAGGCCCAAATCCCGTCGGGGGCATGCCCATGTCACCAGGTCGCATGTTGAATCGTGTATCAAGCTCGGACGCAAAGGATGACACAGATGACCGCCGTGAATGCGATGTGAGTCTACCAGATGCGCTAATTTCTGCAGTTCCGTTTTGCATGAATCCGCTACGGGCGGCCCGCGGCGTGGGAGTTCCACGGCCAGACGACATGGGACCTTGTTGACTTGGAGTCTCAGGTCGATGTTTCGTTACCGAAGCAGGCCAGAGGGGAGGGCCCATGTTGGCTGATTGTTGACTGTGAGATGACCCAGAACGAGCTGCTTCAATAATCTGGCGGTGATTGGAAGGTAGCGGCGGCGCATCGTGGAGTGAGCCTCGACCACTCGCTGCACTTCCTGGTCGGACTAAAGCTCCGGCATCATGTACAAACTCATTCAATACAATGCCCTTAGGACGAATAGGTGTGCCAAGACTCTCTTGTGAGCGGTAGATTCTAACTGTGCCGGTGGTGTCAGGCGTGCCGACGGAGTCAACGGACGAGTTCTTCACGTGCCCAGAGGAGCGTTGAGAGTCGCTTATGAGAAGCTGTTCGATAGCCCCGGCAGTCAATGACGTCTGGGCGGCTTGGTCACTGGTGGGAACACTCTGCTTTCGTGCTGGACGGAAATTGGTATTGGCAGAAATCTCTTTGAATGGCCGTTGTGACTCCGGAGTACTGGCATCTAGTGAGATGGGAGACTGTCGAGTATCGTCCTCGGCAATAACTGGTGTAATGTCTCTCTTCTTGCCGCGGGAAGTGATGGATCCAAATATATTCTTGGTGGGCGTCTCAGGTACACTGCTCTCTTTACCTTCAGGGTCATCATCCCTTGGAAGAATAAAGGCATTTCTCCAAGGACTGCGAGGAGATGTGGGATGGGTCTCGATAAATTCGATTGAAGAGAAGCCAAAGCTTGGCAAAGTCATCGAGTCGGGTGTAGGTGCCATAGGCTCTACCTGCTGGGCAGAAATTGTAGACAAAGCCAACGCCGGCGGAGGAGGGGGGGGCTCCATAATCGGTTGCGTGTGTTGCATAAGGATCGATGACAGAGCAAGTGATGGCTGCGCGGGCGGCGGCAGCGATACTGGCTCGACATTCTGTGTGGCGATTCCCGAGAACTGTAGGCGGGGCAGTGTTGGTAAAATCACCGGCTGCTCTATGGGCTCAAGATCTTCCACATGTATAGAAGACATGGTCAGGTCTATTGGTGGAGCTTGAACTTCCTGAGGGCTGACAGGTACAACGGGGGCCACAATGGTGGTCTCCGTCTTCGGCTCTGGAACAGGTTCCCACGCTTCAGCAACAATATTAGATATTGTCAACTCAGGCGGTGGAATGCCTAGTGGCTCTATGGCTTCAGCCAAAACGGAAGATAGGGTCAGTTGCGGCCGAGGGGTGTCGGGTTCTACTATTGGCTCCAAGGCCTGGGCGGCGATATGCGATAATGTCAATTCGGGTTGTGCCAGTTCAGGCTCAGACCTCGGCTCAACATGCTCCATAGCGAGAGAAGTCAGACGCAGAGTCGGGGGTGTTGGAGGCATCGTAATCTCATCCC